TAATTAATGAAAATTCATGTCGCAGGCAGGAGATTGGATCGGTTTCATTCCGCTCACAATTCCCAAACGTTTGCATTATGGAAAATCGGCGGCTCTGCCAACTTTTTTTCAGGGAAAGAAAAGGAGAAAAAAAAAACCCAAAAAACCCAAAAAACCCAAAAAAAATCACATTAAAAGCACCAGATGCAAATGAAGGGGAGGGAATTGTTAACTCCTTCCAGTCCTCCCCACCAAATTCCCAAAAAAATTCCCAAAAAAATTCCAAAAAACGGGTGAGAAAAAACCAAAAAAATTCCAGTGCGGGGAATTCCGGGCAAAACTTTGATCCCTTCTTCCCAAAAATCTGTGTTGTCTGCATTTCCAAAAGGGGGTTTGGCTTGTTTTTTGGGAATTTTGGGAGGGTTTGAATCCCAAAAAAAGGCCAAAAATTGGGAATGGGAGTAAAGAGAATTTGGTGGGAATTGGGAATGGGAGTAAAGAGAATTTGGTGGGAATTGGGAATGGGAATAAAGAGAATTTGGTGGGAATTGGGAATGGGAATAAAGAGAATTTGGTGGGAATTAACGGAATTTGGTGGGAATTAGGAATGGGAATAAAGAGAATTTGGTGGGAATTGGAAATGGGAATAAACAGAATTTGGTGGGAATTGGGAATGGGAATAAAGAGAATTTGGTGGGANATTTGGGTGGGAATAAAGAGAATTTGGTGGGAATTGGGAATGGGAATAAAGAGAATTTGGGTGGGAATAAAGAGAATTTGGTGGGAATTAGGAATGGGAATAAAGAGAATTTGGTGGGAATTAGGAATGGGAATAAAGAGAATTTGGTGGGAATAAAGAGAATTTGGTGGGAATTGGGAATGGGAATAAAGAGAATTTGGGTGGGAATAAAGAGAATTTGGTGGGAATTAGGAACGGGAATAAAGAGAATTTGGTGGGAATTAGGAATGGGAATAAAGAGAATTTGGTGGGAATAAAGAGAATTTGGTGGGAATTAGGAACGGGAATAAAGAGAATTTGGTGGGAATTAGGAACGGGAATAAACAGAATTTGGTGGGAATTTGGAATGGGAATAAAGAGAATTTGGAATGGGAATAAAGAGAATTTGGTGGGAATTGGGAATGGGAATAAAGAGAATTTGGTGGGAATTAGGAATGGGAATAAACAGAATTTGGTGGGAATTAGGAACGGGAATAAACAGAATTTGGTGGGAATAAAGAGAATTTGGTGGGAATTAGGAATGGGAATAAAGAGAATTTGGTGGGAATTAGGAATAGGAACAAAGAGAATTTGGTGGGAATTAGGAACGGGAATAAAGAGAATTTGGTTGGGAATAAAGAGAATTTGGTGGGAATTGGGAATGGGAATAAAGAGAATTTGGTGGGAATTAGGAATGGGAATAAACAGAATTTGGTGGGAATTGGGAATGGGAATAAAGAGAATTTGGTGGGAATAAAGAGAATTTGGTGGGAATTAGGAACGGGAATAAAGAGAATTTGGTGGGAATTGGGAATGGGAATAAACAGAATTTGGTGGGAATTGGGAATGGGAATAAAGAGAATTTGGTGGGAATTAGGAACGGGAATAAAGAGAATTTGGTTGGGAATAAACAGAATTTGGTGGGAATTGGGAATGGGAATAAAGAGAATTTGGTGGGAATTAGGAATGGGAATAAAGAGAATTTGGGTGGGAATAAAGAGAATTTG